TCCTTCCTTCCTTCCTTCCTTCCTTCCTTCCTTCCTTCCTTCCTTCCTTCCTTCCTTCCTTCCTATTCATTCATTCATTCCTTTCTTTATTCCTTCCTTCTCTCCTTCCTACATTCCTTCCTTCCTTCATTTTCATCCATCCATCCATCCATCCATCCATCCATCCATCCATTCATTCATTCATTCATCACCCATCTCGTATCCAATGACTCTGGACAGTTTACAACATAAAAAACTTAAAAATCATTAAAATCATCAATCCTAAAGAAGCACAGCCAGTAAAATCATTAACATCATTAATACAAGATGGCAAAAGAGGGAGCCGGATACACGAAGGAGGGAGGTGGGGTTAAGTTTTAATCATTCAAAATCTGAACGGAGAGAGAGCTCTAGAGTCTCCTGGTTTTCAGCCTGGTGCCTTCACCATTGGACCGAACTGGCTCTCCATTTTAATAGCCCTTTCAGTGGTCTGTCTCATGTTCCAATTGCAATGTTTTACTCTTCCTGTGGGTACAGGTAGTTCTCGACTTACTGCAATTCATTTAGTGGTGGTTCCAAGTTGCAATAGCACTGAAAAAAGTGACTTATGACCATTTTTAGAATAGTGTAGAGTAGAGTAGAATAGAATAGAATAGCATTTGACAGGAAGCTCTCCAGCTGGACAGACGGGGGCGATGTGAGCTCTGAAGAGCCTCACATGAACCCTGTCTGACAAACCAACTCCAGGGATCCTTTTTTGGATCAAAACCTCTCTGGAAGGGGGGGGGGCGAAGAAGGGGCAGCGTCTCATCAGACCCAGGGGGAGGCAACAGGTCTCTCGCTGGTCGGATATTTGCCCTCTGAATTGGAGTAGGGGCGGCAGCATAGCAGCATGGCTGCACAAGAAGCTGGCTTCCAGCCAAAGCAACTGAACAAGAGTGTGAGGTCAAGATGAAAGACCAGTAAAAAAATTCATTTAACCCACAATCATAAATCAAAACTTGGAAAAGGCAAAGAATCTTGAGAGTACAAATAATGTTAATACACAGATCTGGATTTTGGCAAAAGGAAGGAAAGAAAGGAAAATGGAGGGTTGAAACACTAGCCCCTAAAAAAAGACATTTGTTTGAAACAATTCAGACAGAAAGGGAGAAAGCAGGGAAGTAACAAATCCAATCAATGCAAACTCTAAATTTGGTTTTGGATTTGAAATAGAAACCAAACATTCTGAAGGAATTACTTCGTCCGAATGTCTTCCAACTAATATATCTTAAGCAACTCTAATCAATGAGAGGTGGAATGCAACAATGGAGAAAGATCTAGAAAAAAGCACTATTTTCTCACTGGCAACTGATAACCTAATCTTGCCTGTGTGGGAAGTTTTAATTAACCAACTGCCTAAATCAGAACTTGGAAAAGCAGGAGGTGAAAGAAACATACCCGGGTTTGGCTGTATGCAAGTGTGTTCCAATTGATACATTTTGAGCAACTCTGGCCAACGAGAGGTGGAGAGTGGCAAGGGAAAAAAATAATAACAAGGTCAAGAGCTGTGAAAATATGAAGTTTTTTCTTCTTTTTTTCTGCAAAAGATCAAGATGCGTCCAGCTTCTCTTCCGTTTTCATATTAGTTGAATTAGCAAAATTTAAGGTGGACCAGAACTTTGAAATAAGATCTGTATAACTAACTGCAATTTTGGAACTGGACATTAAGGAAGAACAAAAGACTAAAATGGCTCCCGTCGTTCTTTTCCATAGCAGCTGAATAAGATAAATTTAAGGTGGACCAGAACTCTGAAATAAGAACTGAATAATTAACTGTAACTTTGGAACTAGGCATTATGAAAAGGTGGGAATTTNGTGGAGCCTGGGCCGTCCGTCAGCCCTCAGATGGAGAGTCAACAACCCCCAAGTCTAGAGTTGGCTGATGAGGAAGAGGAGGAACAGCTGGGTCCAGTGCCTGATGTGCAGCTGCGCAGAAGGCAGAGGAGAGGAGAGCAGTGGAAATCTATGGGACGGTCCTTGGGACGGAAGAGCCACCGCTACTAGGGCCGGTCCTTGGGACGGAAGAGCCACCGCTCCACCCGAGCTCTGGAGATAAAAAAGGCAGGGGGCGGAGATGGATAGATGTGGCAGACAACTATTCATCTTCCAGCCGACCAGCCAGTCGGACTTGTTAGCCTGCGAGAGGAACTTTTTGCTGGGGCTGCCAGCATTCCTAATAAAGGAATCTTTTGAATTCACGTCAGAGGGTTTGTTGTGTTTGGAGAGCTGGGTCAGAACACTTGCACTAATGGAGCTGTGCGCATAACACACACTTGCCTGTCGCTTGCGTTGAAGAAACCTCCCCCCGGCCGCCTCCCGCTCTGGTCCACAAATGTTTGGGGACTGCTGATTTAACCTTTGCTGATTTTCGGTGCCTCTTTTCTCCTTGCAGATATGGCCAATCTATCGTTGCATGACCACGATGGATCCAGCGGGGCCTCTGACCAAGATACGCTGGCCCCGTTACCTCACCCAGGAGCAGCCCCCTGGCCCCTAGCTTTTCCTTACCAGTATCCACCTCCACACCCCTACAACCCCCACCCCGGCTTCCCTGAGCCAGGTTACAGCTACGGAGGGGGCAGCGCAGGGAGTCAGCACAGTGAAGGTAAGCATCTACCAGGATTTCCCATTCCATCTTCCAAGCCTTGTAGAAGGTTGGCCCTTCTTTCTTCGGCCTAAGCTGTGAATCGTGCCGTGTCTTGGGTCCCACTCTGGGAAACTTTAAAATAAAGGTCAGGTGGCATGCAAAATCTGGGTTGTGGGAACAGCCTCCGCCTCCTCCTTCTTCTGGACACTCATGTTCCCTCTCAACCAAGGAATGAGTCTAGCTTTTGAGCATTTGAAAAATTTTCATTTGCTGCATCCGCATTCTAAATCGGTCACTTAGGCCAGGATATCCCTATGGATGGCTCTCTTGCTAATCATTCCTTCCTTCCTTCCTTCCTTCCTTCCTTCCTTCCTTCCTTCCTTCCTTCCTTCCTTCCTTCCTTCCCATTCA